CCTCAGTCACTGGAATGCAGTGGAAGTGATGCTGTGTGACTTTTGAGGCTATTTTATAAACAACAATACAGCTTCTTCTTAGCTCTCTCTCAGTGTGCTTGCTTTTGAGACCCAGGTCTTATTAGGTCGCCTTATGTCAGCCCATAGTCCCAGCTAGGCTTCAAGCAGCTAGGCAGCATGAATAACTAAACATGTGAATGGGCTGGCCTTTGGATAATTCCTTCCTAGCCTTTGATTCTTCTAGCTGAGCCCCCAGATATGGAAAAGGGATAAGCTGCTCTCACCATGCCTTGTCTGAGTAATTAACCAATAGACATCTTGACATAAAAAAATCGTTGTTGTTTTAAGTCACTTAAAGTGACTTTAAGTTTTGGAGTAGTTTTAGCAGCAATAGTCAACTAATACAGGTCAATATAAAAATCAATGCATTTTATAAAACAGAAACAATAAAATGAGTTTTTTAAAAATAATGCTGTGTATCCATATAGAATAATAAAAATTATTATCTCCCACTATATACAAATAACAATTCCAGGTAGATTACAAATCTACATATGAAAGACAAAAGAATAAATATTCTAGAAGACAAAATAGCATGTTTTCAGGACCTTGACATAGGGGAAAAGATCTCAATAAAACACACACACACACACACACACACACACACACACACAGAGTGGAATGGAGGGAGAGACAGGAAGAGAACAGTTAATTAAAAAGTTGACTACAGTCAAATTGAAAACTTCTGTTTATCAAAATAATTGTTAAAGGCTAGTCACAGAGTAGAAGATATTTGCAACACATATGGCTGACAAAGGGATTGTGTTTAGGATAAATAACTTGTATAATCAATAAGAAAAAGACAGACAATCCAATTCAACATGCAAGAGACTTGAACAAGGCACTTAACTAAAGAGGATATTTAAAGTCCAATAATGCTAAACAGGTTCTCAACCTCATTCATAATCAGGGACCTTTCATTTTCTGTATTATAAGCATTATCATGCATAATTTTGAGCGTTGTAAAAAACAAGAGATGATTTTTAAACTTTTATTTTGAAATAATTCACCCTTACGGAAGAATTGCAAGAACTCTCATATATATTTTGCTCAGATTAACCAAGTGTTACAATTTTGTCATATTCTGCATCCCTTTCCAGATCCAGACTCACGTGTATGAGTGTGTGTGTGTGTGTGTATGTACCTATTTTTTCTGAACCATTTGAGGGTTTTATATTAATGTATCATGTCCCTTTGTACCTAAATACTTTAAATACTTCAGTATTTTATAAGAACAAAATAAATTCTTTAAATGACCACAGTATGGTCATTTAAACATTTATCAAGTTCAGAAAATTTAACATGGATTTGCCACTATTATCTGATGTAGAGTTAACATTTCATTTTTTCCAATTGTCTTAATAGAAAATGTTTTTCCCTAGTCCAGAATCTATTCCAGGATCGTGCACTGTATTTAGTTGATGTTTCTGTCATTTTCTTTAATCTGTAACAGTTCCTTAGCCTCTGTCACTCATGACATTGACACATTTGAAAAATATAAGCCAGTTGTTTTGTACATTATGTTTGAATTTGGGTTTGACTGCTATATATTCATGATTAGATTTAGATTTCATATTATCGGCCAGTAATAGTACATTAGCAATATTTTGTTCTTCTCAATATATCAACAGTATACAACTTAAAGGACTTGGCATAAGTAGATTATTATATTTTTTATTGTGAGCAATTTCTCAGCATTTTTGAGGAAAAGTAGAGAATGAATCAAAATATTATAAAGCATTTTATGTGTGAATGTATTTATCTGACAGTTTTGTGATAAAACCTAAAACAGAAGTGAGGTTGCCTAAAACCGATCATTCCAAGAAGCAATTAATAAGTAGTATTCTCAGATTCAATGAGGATGCTTCAAGAGAACCATTTGGAGAATTTTTTATGTGTTCCCTGGAGTTGGAGGGGTACAGGGACTGGTTTCTGACTCACAGCCGCAAAGTCTAAAGGTGAGAGTTGGTGGCCTGAGCTCTGCTGACTTGGGGCAGAGTTAGGGAAGTTGAAACCCATCATGATTTCTAGCATCTGGCATGACAAGGAAGCCTGAATTTCCCTTGAGCTAATGAGACCCACAGGAGGGAGTCATATTGAGTTCTTTTGAATGGGACTCCACGAAAGAGGACTGAGCCCTGTCGATGGTTGGGCCACAAGAAACCAGTGGCTAACGGGAATGTGTAAGTGGCCATCTGGAGGAAGCATAGTGTATGTGAAAGGAAGTGTAGGCAAGAGGTCCCTAGTGATGGAGGTCATCTGTGAAAAAGCCACAAAACCACTCCGGAAAGAAACAACTGACTTTTAGAATATCCTTTGCAGAGAGAATACCTATACTAGACTGTAACTGTCCTGTGAAGTATTACCTTTACTTATCCATGCCTCTTCCCACCTATCTCACTTCTGTCCCTGAAGGGCCCCAGAGTATCTGCCAGGGAATGAGAGAGAAGGTGGAGTAAGAGCTAGAGATTAATATGATCACCTCCATCTTTTCTTGTTACAGGCTTCCTAGCCTGAAGTAGGTCAGATCAGAGAAGGGAGAAGTTTTAAAGTTGATGAGAATAGAATTTTAATTACTATACTTGATTAGAATTTTTAATACTTAGAAAAGAATGTCTAGATAAATTAAATGGAATCCTCCCAATTCTATGGCCTATGGAAGTCTGAAAAATTCCTGTTCATTTTTGTGAATTCCTTGGGAATTACGTCTTATGGTCCCTCAGCCTCTGGCTCTTAAGTGCATCAATCTGGGTTTGAAACTAGACCCTGGTGATGGTTTTAAAAATTGTCCAAAAATTCGTTGACACTTTTCTCTTCAAGAGATAGTGCTTAATTCCTTTCTCCTTGACTGTGAGATGGACTGAATGACTGACTTCTAATGAAAATAATACGGTGGAAGTGACAATGTGTGGCTTCTGAGACTAGGTTATGCGGCATGTGGCTTCCTCTTTGTCCCCTCTCCTAGACTGCTTGCTCTGAGGGAAGTCAGCTTCCATGCCATGAGGACACTTAAGCAGTCCTATGGAGAGAGAGGTCCATAAAGTGAGGGACTGAGGCCTCCAGCCAACAGCCTTGTAATTAAGCCAGCTTGGAAGTGCAGGTTGGTTTCTTTGCAATTTTTTTGAGAGTAAGTAACATTTTAGAAGGAAGGGCCAGAGTTTGTATTTGTGCTTCTATCAGCAGTGATTATATTAAGGCCCAGAATAATTTTGCCTTAACAATATTGAACACCTAAAGGACTTTTTCTCACGAGCAATTGGTTTTCTTTATCCTGGATTTTCCGCTTTCTAAATCATTCTCTTTAGCCAGTGAGATTTTCCTATGTCATTTATCTATCCCCTGGTTAAGAAGTGCATCCATGCCCAACCCAGTCTGTTTGCCTTCAGGATAAAATCCAAATTCTTCTACCTTGTTTATAAGAACTCTCAGCACTGCCATGATGTGGGATCGTGGTCACTTCTCTCGCCATGGGATATTTATTTTGAATATCATGCAATAAAGGTCTTATTTTTCACAATTTCTATAGAAAAAAAGATGCCAAAACCTTTACTTAGAGACTTTTCGTTCTAGAAATGAATGCTTATTTTATGTCAATTTTTTATATACACCGAATTAGTGGACCAAGTGACCAGAGCTTCTGAGAAAGAAAGAAATGACTGTTTTCACAACTTTATAGCAGAAATAATGAAAACTGTGGGCAGTTAAAACTGGACAATCGAATAAAAAGATACATTTCTTCTGAAATGCTGTTACATTAAATTCTTAAAGAATAAAAATAAATATGATATATTCACTGTGTAGCCTTGAAAAGAAAAATTATATATTATTGACCTGGAATTTTGTCTATCATGTAGAGTTAAAAAAAATGGTTAGAGAACAGTATTAGGGAATAATCACATTTAGAATAATCACATAATCATATGTAGAGAATAAGATAACATTCAGTTATGTATGCATACACAAATAGTGTAGAAGGCTCTATATCAAGTTGTTCATGATGATTATCTCTGGGGAGAGGTGTATGAGAGGACTTTGTGGGATGGTTTTTACTTTATTCACTTCTGAATTTTAAAAAATGTATAAAAACATCTTTTATAACTTAAAAAGATAGTTCCATTTTGTAAAGATCAAGGATCACGTAAATGGATGATAGAGCAGGAGTACCATCATCTTGGACAAATGCTGCCACTTTAAATCCCAGCTCCCTTTCCAGCCTCATGCATTTCAAGGAAATCACTTACCTTCTATCTACAAGGAGCCAGAAAGAGCAGGCAAGAAAACTCAGATAAGACACCTCGGGCATAGCAGGAGGTGGGAGGAAAGTCTCTTGGGTAACTGCGAAACTTCACCCTCATACAAGGAGCCCCGCTAAAACAGTGGGCCTTAATAAGCACATTCCTTTTCCTTCAGGTGCACTAAGATAGGAAAGCTAAAAGCAGACTTGGGGAATAAGCCTGCAGCTACAGAAAGATATATGAGAACAAACACACACTCTCCCTCCCAGATAATCACAACAAAGAAGTAGTCCAAACCTCTGATAAACTCTCCCACCCTTAATCCTTAAAAACTCTTAGTTTGTAGGAAAGGGTGCCTCTGACCTAACTTGGCCAGAAAACACCTCTCAGGTTTGTTTTCTCTAAAATAAATCTGCTTGACTGTCAAGCCTTCTTTCATGTTTCTTTCCTCTTTCTTTAATTCTTACACTAGGAATCCTACATTAATATCTATACCTCTGTTGTCATAAAGACTCTCATTTAAATCCTCTTGGAATGATGAATGGTTTGATATCAGAGTTTAATCGCATCTTAAAACTGTTTTCCAAGAAACAGTTGGAAAACAGTTTCTTTGGGTAATTTCATCAGTGGCAAAAACACTACTTGTTATTAAATTCTTCCTCTTAGCCAATCCTCGTGTTACTCCATAGGTTGTTCCTCTGGAGCTCAGTTAAAAATGGAAAAAAGGCCGGATGCGGTGGCTCACGCCTGTAATCCCAGCACTTTGGGAGGCCGAGGCAGATGGATCACGAGGTCAAGAGATCGAGACCATCCTGGTCAACATGGTGAAACCCCGTCTCTACTAAAAATACAAAAATTATCTGGGTATGGTGGTGCGTGCCTGTAATCCCAGCTACTCAGGAGGCTGAGGCAGGAGAATTGCCTGAACCCAGGAGGCGGAGGTTGTGGTGAGCCGAGATCGCGCCATTGCACTCCAGCCTGGGTAACAAGAGCGAAACTCCGTCTCAAAAAAAGGAAAAAAAAAGAAGAAATTGATGGCTTTCTTTGTTTAAAAATGATTACGTGAGTATTAGTTTCATTTTCATAGTATGTTTATCTTTTTTTAGATATCTTGCCCTTGATCATTTCTTGGAAGCCACATGATAAAAACAGAGTATAGGATTGGAAGTTAGAGGAACTGACATCATACCCTGCTATCTTCACATACCAGTAGTCTACCTGCAGGTCAGTCATTACCTTAAACTGTCTGAACTTTGGTTTTCTCATCTATAAAATAAGAATGATAGTGTCTGAGAGGATGGTAGGAGATGAAGTGAGAGTGTGATGAAAAATAACATCGTGCACATATGTTGGTTTACCCTTCTCTTTCTCCTGCCCTCTTTCTTTCTAGTCTTTACTTCTTAGGGATGTCAGAACTCTCTACAATCAGTATCTTCTGTAAAACAAAAAAATAAAATAACTCATTTCCTTCTGTACTTCAGAGAGTCACTTTTGTAAGACTCATTTGGACAAATGCATGTCAAAGGGTGTTTGAAAGAATAGGGTCTTACACTAATGCTAGCTATATTTGTGCTTTGCCATATGTCAGCCGTATGAATCCATTTGTCCTAGTGGATATCATCCTTCCCATTTTATAGAGAAGGAAATGGTTTGAGAGGACCTGAACAGGGTCTCATAGGACTAGAACCCAGGCTTCCAGACTACTAAAGGCCATTTAAAATGTTTATTTATCTTCTGTAAATTAAATGACCTCAATTCTTTGAGCTTTTTTTCCCCCATAAATTCCACATATCAAAATAACTGACAAAGAAAAGCAAATGAATTGTTTAATTATTTGTATATGAAATTTTGCTATTAAAGTTGGATTGATTTATGTGAGCACCGAGTGTGTATAGCCAGGCACTGTGTAGGGAATACATTGGTAAATGAGAAGACATGATTCATGCTTTTATGGAATGTATGTTCTGTAGGGTAGGGGTGGGGCGTGTGGGTGGTAGCAGAAAATAAGTGAGTAAACAAATAAATGAACGAGATAGTTGTAGGTGGTGATAAGCATTTCTGGATCCAATGAAGCATAGTTATATGAAGGAGTGACAGTGGGTGGTGTTGGATGAAGAGGTGTGGCCTAGACTGAGTAACAGAAAAGGGCTTTGGGAGAAGATGACCTATGGTGTTCAACAGATATTTACTGAACGAATTAATGAATGAATGAGCCATTCATGCAAAGATTAGGAGCAATGGGAGAGAGGGTGTTTCAGAAATGCTTTTACTGTAATGGTTAATATTAGCAGCTGCTTTTGATTTGCTCTTATTATGTGCCAGGCACTATGCTTAATTATTTACATTTACCTAAAAGTTGAATCTTCACAACAACCAAAAGAATTAACTAATTAGAATAACTCAATTTTTTAGATAAGTGTTGTAATGACATTTGTAGTAAAAAAAAAAATGGAACTTCATATTTAAGAATTAATGTTCTTATTACTCCTTTAAATCTCAAGCACTTAAAGAACAACATTTGGTTATAAAAAAGGTAGTGTTCTGTCTCATTCACCTAATTTTCTATCAAAATAGATTTGTTAAAATTCCGTATAAAAATAATAGCTTCTTTATCTGTTCTGTTCATGTGTCATAATTAGATCATAGGAAGTCAGAATGGAAAGCAACCTTGAAATTCAGCTAGTCCAACAGTACTGTTTTATAAAGAGACTTAGGCATAAATAAATTAAATGAATCTTTTTTAGAAAAGCTGGATTTTTGTAGTGAGCATTTGGAATGAATAAAACTGAGAATGGCCATTATTCGCTAAACACACAAATTACATGTTTCTGAAACAGTACATTTGTTCTTCATGAAAACTACAATGACATTACAATTTCCATTTTCCTGATAAAGGCAACTTTAAGTAAACTCAAGATCACATTGACACTAAATGGTAAACCAAGGATTTAAAGTCAGATATGCTCCTCCAATACACTTTGCTTTTACTTTCAAAATAAGATCATCTCATAATAAAAATCGTTTAGAAATTAATCATAGCAGTTATAGTAGTTTGGATTGAATGTTTATGCATTCTACAACACTGGACATTATGTTGATTTTGTTTATTTTGGGGGTGAAGGTGGAGCACTCCACTTGAAAGAAAAAGGTAGAAAAAATTCCATTACCTGTGTTTCCATTAATACCTGTAGCATCGCAAATCCAATGAGCAGCAAAATCCAGTACTGTTTGGGCAGTGAGATAGTGGCTCTCAACAACTATGGAGAGAGAAACTTGCAGACTCTTGGGGAAACCCCTAACCTAAGAAAATCCCTCCTCAACAGCAAAGTGTCCCAGGGACCTTTGAGATTCTACTAAGGGCTGATAAAGTAAAATGTCAATCCAAGTGGCAGATACTGTGTTTCATGTCTTTTCTGAATGACAGATTTCTGCCTTCTCTTCTCTTCTTCCTCATAGGAAGTTCCTGGCAGGAGAAACTCCCAATATGAGTGGGCTAAAGAGGAAGGACTCTGGGGCTGCTTGTTCTTTCTTGGGGACTTTAAAGACCAACTTCTGCTTTTACCTTACATCCATCCATCCATCCATCCATCCATCCATCCATCCATCCATCTATCTATCGTCTATTTTGGGGAAGTAGAGAATTACAATGAGCAGTAATCAAAAGACCAATATAGCCTAGGGATTTGTTGAGCCCATAAAAAAATCAGTAAAATATGCCTTTCAGAGTTTGAGAGAAATTAGCCTAAAAGTAATGTTTTTTGGCAAAGTGAGCAGTTGACAATGAGTTAAATACCACTTAATCTTTAGTTGAGGAGCCCCTCAGCCTACCCCGACACTACAAGGAAAGTGCTTATAGTTAATGCATGTCTTCTCACATTTCCTATTCCTTCTTATGTTCCCCCTCCCAACCTTACATGTTGGGGGCATGGTGGAATTCTAATTTATATAGTTTCCACATTCTGAGAAACAGATGAACTCTGCAATAATGATTACAAATTTAGATTGTTTCTGCAAAAATAACTGTTATGCATCATCCCATATAAAGCCTTAATTCCAGGCTCATAAATCAAATAGTCAATACAAAAAGCACTTATTACCTCCTATGGATCTTTTGCTAAAACACAGTGCAATTTGGGAATTAACTATCCTAAACTAGTAGAAAAGTATTTCAAGGAGATTTGTTTGAATAACCTGTGGGAAAAGAAAGAAAGTCGGATTAGGCAGAGGGAAGAATTGAAATGCACAACAGTCATAAATCCTCATGCGATCCTCATAGATGCCCTCATAGGTGGGTTTAGATAGCCCCTCAGAATCCTACCACCTTGAGGCAAGGGAACTGGGTCTTTAGCTGTCATCCACCAGTGATTGGATGCAGGTTGGCACTGGGAGTGAGTCATCTTCTTGGGGTGTGCTTCGTTCTGGATGCAGACTGGACTTCAGGATTTATGGACTATTGAATCTGGCACTGAGTGGCATACCACAGCATCCATTACAATATTAAAAAATGTTGTTAAGTAAAGGACATCATAGTTCAACCATTTGTCAAATGACTGGTATTTTTTATTTCAAATGTATAACTGGACAATGTTAACAAACAGGTTATATCACTCATAGCTGTTAATTTAGAGGCATCATGTTAAGTCCTCATTGTTATACAGCTACTAAATTTCAGTATGAATTATATTTTATATATCCTCTTTCATTTATCCAGTGTGATTTGCTTGAAGGAACTCTGAGACTCTTTTATCTCTGAGTTAAAAGATCTGGGTTCTTACCAAAGTCTGCCAGTTACTATAGGACGAGTCATTTTATTTCCTCATCTGTAGATTAGCGATGATGATATTTTGGCTGACTCTTTCACAGGGCTGTTTTGCGCAATGACAAATGGAGTGCTGGTACAGGCCCTTTGCAAACTGCTGCTGAAGAAGAGCTCAGAGAAGCTATAGTTGTGGGAATCCTAATCTGGCTAGAGTCTCAGTTAGCATGAGGAGCGCCTGGAATTTGAGAGTAGAGCAGAGTTAAGTGTGGATGGTACACACAGAGGGAATGGGGCAGGAGACTGCAAAAAGAAGGGGTGAGGACGAAAGGTAGAATTTTCCTTAGGTACCAATGACCATCTTTTCCCACTGCAACTGAGGCCAGCTCTACTAAGCAAATTGAAAACAAAACAGAACAAAACAAAATGCAAAACAGACAAGTCAGCTGACTGAATTCCATATGTTAACTAAACCATTATGCATCTTGGAACATGTCTCTTTTTCCCATTCTCACCCCATTTCCCGCACCAGGTAAACAGCAATCACATTACTGAGAGGAAAGAGAAAAACCACTGTATTTGTTTGGTTCTGGGGGTTCTTGGCTGTGATATAGGATCTGTCACCTCCTTAACAGCACTTTGACTCAACCTTTTCATCTGAATGCAAGTGGGTGTTCATTTCTGAGTCTCTCTTTCTTGCTCTCTCTTTTTGTTGTGGTCGTGGTTGCTTTGGTCTCATTTTTAATCGTTCTCGTGACAGTCCTCTCTCAGTCCCTGTCCTGAAAGTAAGTGATCAGACTTCAGGTTAGGGTAGAGTTACCATGGACTTCCCCAGACTGTACCCACAGCATCGGAAATGTTTCCTTTGAATTTTCAGCTTTTTCAACATTGATGGTACAGCCTTGATTTTGGTTTAAAAAACTGGAGAAAAATGTCATGTGGTCAACTTCAGGGAGGCGTAGTTGAATGATTTCTAACCAGAGGCATTTCCCAGTTGGTTGGCCACATTGAAACCAGTTTTCCCTTCTACCCCAGAGGTTTTCTGTAGCATATTCTGCTCCCCTCCCCATATTCTTCCTTCCAACAATCTATCTATCCACCCTCTCATTCATTCACTAATTGATTCATCTATTTCCCTCTCTTCTGGTCAAGAAACCAGTGTGGGCTGTATTGCACGTTTCATATTCTCTCCTGCAGCCTCCTCACATGCCCAGATATGGACGAATTCCTTCCTCCTAGCACCTACTTTTTCTAGTTTGGCCTCCATCTCTCGAAGCTGATGAGTGGCTGAGATAATTTTAACAAAGCAGCAGTGCAGACTGGGGCCAGGTCTGCTTTGTGCTTTCTGTTACTTCAGGATTTATGGGCTGTTGAATCTGACACTCAGCCCTGGCTTTGCCGACAGCACATTTGTTTTATCCATAGAGCAAACACCACTGACTGTGAAACCTGACTTGACTTGGACTGT